GCAAACTCAAACCCTAATTTAGGTCATCAGTGCAAGGAGATGTCTTGGGCAGTGCAAAACCCTAATCATGTCTGGAGTTCAAGGAGCCTTGTGAGGGGAAATCTTGATAAAATGAGAGGGAAAATTTTGGGGTACAACAATGTGCTTTCGAAGAATGGATATACCTTACTACAACAGAGATCAACAATTGGAACGCAAAGGACTTCGTCCCCATCTCCTTCATTAAGGATTAATTACTTGTTTATTGCTTTCCAAGGACCTTTTATCTGTAATATTAAACAATGACTTTTAAGCCGTATGCCTGGCCCGGGGCACTATGGTCCATCTTGTTAAGGGTTTTATTTGTGTTCATTTTATCATATGATCATTCAATATAAACCACTGGACTTTTTTGCATTCAAATTTTAGTGCTCATTATCTTTCTTTTTCTTTAATACATTCTTCAAAATAGCCATGTATCTTACACACACACTCTTGCATATCCTCGTCCACTCCGGATCTCATTGCCAATGACTCTATTATTGCCAGCTATGATTTCGAACATCCAATTAACTAAGCCTAAGACGAAGGCGAGGAAGATTGTGAAATACTGGGAGAACTAGCCAGGCTTCTAATGCAAGAGGAAAAAGCTATTCAGGCGCATGAAGAATCAATTGAATTCATCAACCTAGGTACCGAGACAAACAAGAAAGAGGTCAAGATCGGCACCAACCTTGGAAGCAATGTCAAAAGAAGATTGGTTCAGATGTTAAATGACTATGTGGAAGTGTTTTCTTGGTCGTATAAAGATATGCCAGGGTTAGATACCGACATTGTAGTTCATCGTCTGCCAACAAAGGAAGATTATCCTCCTATCAAGCAAAAAGTTCGTCGCATGCGGCCTTACATGTATGAAAAGATAAAAGTTGAAGTAATGAAACAATTCGATGCAGGATTCCTAGCAGTGACATCTTATCCCCAATGGGTTACAAACATGGTGCCGGTACCAAATAAAGATAGAAAAGTTTTTATGTGCGTAGATTGCAGGGATCTGAATAGGGAAATCCCCAAGGATGACTTCCCTCTACCTCATATCGATGTCTTGATCGATAACACCGCTCAATATAAAGTATTCTCTTTCATGGATGGCTTCTCCGACTATAATCAAATTAAGATGGCTCCCAAAGACATGGAGAAGACCACCTTTGTTACGCAACGGGGCATCTTTTGTCACAAAGTCATGCCATTAGGATTAAAGAATGCAGGGGCAACATATCAAAGGGCTATGGTAGCTTTGTTTCATGATATGATCCATCATGAAATAGAGGTATATGTGGATGATATGTTTGGAAGGTCACAAACTGAGGAAGAACATCTCAACCACTTATACAAGCTATTCGAGAGACTGAAAAAGTACAAGTTGAGGTTGAACCCTAATAAGTGCATATTCGGAGTACGATCTAGAAAGCTTTTAGGTTTTTTTGTCAGTGGTAAAGGCATCGAAGTTGATCCTGAAAAGGTAAAATCCATTCAAGAAATGCCATTCCCCCATTCTGAAAAGGTGGTTAGAGGATTCTTGGGTCGTCTTAACTACATCGCCCACTTCATATCTCACTTAACTGCTACTTGTGAGCCAATCTTTAAACTCTTGAAGAAAGATCAAGTGGTCAGATGGAATGACGAATGCCAAGCTTCCTTTGAAAAAATCAAGGAATATCTGCAAGAACCTCCTATCATCATACCTCCAGTTGAAGGAAGACCCTTGATCATGTACTTGATTGTGCTAGAGAATTCTACGGGGGTGTGTGTTGGGCCAACATGACGAGTCTGGCCGAAAAGAGCATGCAATTTACTACTTGAGCAAAAAGTTTACCGACTTTGAAAGAAGATATTCACTACTCGAGAAAACTTTATGCGCTCTAGAATAGGATGCTCGCCGGCTAAGACAGTACATGTTGACTCATACCACTCTTTTGATTTCTAAGATGGACCCTATCAAGTACATCTTCGAGAAACCCTCTCTATCCGGACGGATAGCTAGATGGAAAATGATCTTGACTAAGTATGATATCCAATATACAACACTAAAGGCCATCAAAGGAAGTGTATTGGCAGATCATTTATCCCATCAAGCTATTGATGATTATCAGTCTATGAACTTTGACTTCTCGGACGAGAATATCATGTTAGTAACCGACTGCGCAAAACCTGGACCGCATGACAGACTTGAACAAGGATCCCGATGGACTGTGGTCTTTGATGGGGCTTCTAACGCTTTAGGTAACGGAATTGGTGTTGTGATAGTCTCTCCTGAGTGTTGCCACACCCCTTTCACTGCTAGATTGTGCTTCGATTGTACAAATAACATGGCTGAATATGAGGCATGCATTTTGGGTATGAAGGCTGCCATTGATCTAAGGATCAAGAATTTGAATGTATTCGGAGACTCCACATTGGTTATTAGCCAATTAAAGGGAGATTGGGATACCAAGAACCCTAATCTTATCCCTTACAAAGAGCTTGTGCTATCTCTGATTCCTTACTTCGAATAAATCACCTTTGAACACTTCCCTAGAGAAGAAAATTAGTTAGCCAATGCTTTGGCCATAATGTCTTATATGTTCAAGGTAAAATGGGACAAAGAAGCTCCTATGATTACAATTGAGAGATTCAACGAACCTGCGCACTGCTATGGTTTATCCTGATTCCTTTTCGGTAGACACTTTCTCTGATTCAGACAAATCACTCCAAAGATTTATTCTGATTCTTTCCCAGTTGAAGTAAAGTTTAGACTTAGTCTAATTTCTGTCAACAATCACCTTTACATGGCATCTATAATCCAATCTCTGACAACTATCCATCATTTCTCCAAATGGAATCCATAAGCCCATCTCAGACAAAATCCCTTCACTCTCTAAATGTCATCTTTAAGCCAATTCCCGATACAATAAACATCATAGAGTGCAAATTTTTGGGCACTCTAGTGTTCAATCATCTTCCACTTTCAAGCTACGAAAGACAAACGTGCCAATCTCACTTTTTCAAGTTTAAGAACATTGAACAGGGGAAGCTGTTGTACCCCAAAATTTTCCCTCCCATTTTTCATTCTAGATGCTATCTTATGGTTTCTCAAATACTCAAAATGATTTAGGGTTTGATCAGATAGATTCTTCTCCTAAGCATTGAGTCAGCAGCTGGGGTTTATTTTTTCTCAAGCAAATTTGAGTTTTCGAGGTTTCAAATGGTCTTCATGGTTCTTCATGTATTCTCAAGGATGTTCGTATCAGTTTTTCAAGCCTTGCGTCGCGAGTTTGATCAGTCATTGGTTCATATGACTAAAAATGACTGCATTGACCCAAAAATCGACCTTTTGCGAGATCAAATTCAAACAGTTGTAACTTCTTTATTATTAGATATTTTTGAGCGATTATTTTTGTGTATGACTCTCCTTGGCGTCATCTCTAACTTCTCTTTACAAGTCAAGAGCCGATTACATGCGAAAGATTATCAGAAATTCGGATGCTTTAAAGAAATGTCATCTACAAATTTCCTTAAAGATTGGAGTCAAATTATGCTTTGAATGCTATGGAATTTATTGAAAAAAATTATGGGTCATGACGGGATTTTCCAAAGCGCCATTTGATCATGTGAATTGAAGTACAAGTGCAAAAGTACGGGATTACTTGAATTTGAATCAAGAACGGGTTCGATGTTGTGAAATTTTCTTTCAAGAACCCAATGCCATAAAATCAAATATCCATGTTCGTCAATTAAATTGCAATATCAATTCAAGTAGATTTATGAATTTGAAATTTTGAACAAAATGCATTTCTAGAGGATTATTTCAAGATTGCAAGAACAAAGTGCAAGATATTTTTTACTTGATCACAATTCAAGATTCAAATATCATTCAAATTTCAATTCTAATTCAAAGAATTCAAATAGTGGATAATGAGAATATAATCAAAGTCATGATTATGGATTGAACATGGAAATACTAAGTAAAATTCACATGAAAATGGGAAGAAAAGGATATTATTGGAGAATGTATCATTACAAGAATATTCAAATTTTCAAATAATTTCCATTTTTGCATTCATACAAATATCCATTCAAATTTCCAAGTTCATCATAAATTCAAGTTCATTCACGACAAAGTATTTAAGCATACACTTTAATTCAAATCTCGTCCATAAATTTCATGATTCAATTCATTCAAATTCAAAACCATTACACCATTCTTGATTTCATTACAAAATTAAACAAGTGTACATAACCATCAAAAATCTAGACCTAAAACCTCATGACCAAGTTTCCAAAACCTTGTAAAACCATACCAAAAAAAAAATATGTGTTGAAATCAGTCCATGAACCATGTGCAAGTTGATGTCCACTTGCATTCTTGCTATCCAAATTGTCAAACCTGCTGCATAATAATACCAGTCTAAAACCTGTTACAACCCTGCAATAACAGTCCAAAAGCCTTACACATAATGTACAAAGCTAGCTCCGTCGAACAGACCCTATACCAGTCTAAATCCTGCTACAACCCTGCATAAAGCAAGCCAAAACCTGCACAATTGTTGCACGAAATAATCAGGTCAAAATACTGCATTAGAAAGCATTGAAAAAAATTAGCTAAAAGTGTTCAAAATTATCTAATTTCCCCCCAAAATGCAGTTTTACTGGATATGAAACAAGAGGCAAAGCACACAGAAAAAAAGATACTTAAAAAACCCTCACTCCAACAACCTTCAAACTCTCATCCTCACATCACTGCTTCCACACTAATCGATACCACACACAACCCTCAAAACAACATCATCACACGATGACTACAGTTTCACGATAACTTGCTTTGTAACAATTCAACAGAAGCATACTGCAACACAACAGTAACACAAAGGAACAACAAGCATCACGACCTTTTCTCAACAGATATCAACCCAATATTTGAAACACAGTAGAAGAAGTGTAAACGGGAAGAGATAGGAGGAATTTACTATTCACCTCGATAATTTTCAAGCGAAGACTTCATCATTGCAAGAAAGGAAATTTTGAGCAGCAAAACATAGAAACCTCTGCGCGACCCCATCTTCCGATTCCGGGAAACTCACCGACATCATCGTTATCCATGAGCCTTCCGCATTCACAACCACGTTGATTGCTCCGGTTTCGAACAACTGCGTGCAATCCGCTATAGATTCAGCCATCATCGTCGTCTCCCACTCTGTTTGCCCCCGCGACTTCGGCCTAACACTGATACTGAATCCGACGTAACCGCCATAACCTCCGTACGATCGATGTGCTCCTCCACGCGTCGTATCTGCCTCTGATTCCCACACTTCATCCGAAATCGTGACAAACAACACCCAGAGGTGCTGAACATAACACCCACGATCCATCCGTCAAGACATCACCACTGCCGTTAAATCCAGGAGGTCAGTTTCTTTTTTTCTTTTATGCTATCTTGATTATAGTTTTTCCTTGTTTGTCATTGTTTGAAGAAAATAGAAACAAAAATCGTGAGAAGAGAAGATGTTGGTACTTTGAGAGAGGGAAAGTTGTGTTTTGTTTCAACCTTCTTCCCTTTATTTTGTTCTACTATTAACAGCAAATGATGACAAATCCTTTTGCCTTCCCTATGATACGGTAAAGCAGCAGCGCGCTATAGGGTTTACGAAACCCTTCTTTTCCTTTGCCTAGCGGGGACAGCCCATTGGGCTTGTTGGCCCAATTTTCTCAACCGCTTTCACCTTATATTTCAATTAAGTTATATTAATAACGAATGAAACAGATAGTGTAGTGGTTGGAGTGTTGGTTTACAAGCGTGGCATCCTGAGTTCGAGTCCTAGAGGGCGTTTTGTTTCTTTTTCTTTGTATTATTTCTTAAATACATACTTTTCTTTATTTTTAACAAATAACTTTGGGCCTTTCTAACCATTTTCTATGTTCTGTCCCATCCAAAAGTCACTCTATTTCACCCCCATATTCAGTAAAACATCACCTTTCTATTTTGTTTTGTTTTAATAATTAGTTTGACTTTATTTGTTTTATTAATTTAATAAATCATGTAGTTTTGTTAGATAATTTTCTTAATTAGCTTAGTTCTAATTTTAATTTAGGAAAAATTTGTAAATAATTTTACTAATTAACTTTTTCTTTAGTCTTAATTTTGTTTGTCTTCATAAAAAATATCAAAAGACAACATATACATACATTTGATTTATTTTCTTTAGTTAATTATTTTCTTTAATAGAATAGAATTTTATTTCTCTTTCCAAACTTTTCAAACAAATACCAAGAATTTTATTTCCATACTTTGTGAATTAATTTTTACTTCATAGAATGTTATAGTTTTAATTATTGGTTCGATTCGATTTGGTTGTATTGATTTCCTTTTCGGACTTTTAATCGCATTGATCCATCCCTATTTGTAAATTTGTACCCCCATTCCCGAAAGCTCTATAATAGCGTAGAATTTTAATTTCCACAATTTACTATTTTCCTTATATTGTATAGTAATTAGGCGTGTATGGCAAGATTTAAAATCAATCGCTAGATAACCCTAATCAAAGAATAAATTAACTTGAATCAAACACACTTTCACACGTGCACCTCTAGGGTAACCTCGCATGTTGCCTCAGAAAAACAGTCATGTCCCTCGAATATGGGACGCTTTAGTAAAGACCCTTCGATAAAAAGATCGTAGTCCCTCGATGTTTCCTTCGGTAAAACTATCTAGTCCCTTATGAAAATTGCTAAAGCGTCTCACAAGTTGCCTTCTATGACTGTACGATTGACCCACGCCCGTCCCTTCACATCCAACGGTGGGGCTTCTTACCAAATCAATGGTAAGATAGAAACATCTAAAGGAAGAGGAAAAGAACATTTAAGACCTTTTGAGTAGGTAGGTTTCTCCTAATTGCTTGCTTGCTCACAACAACAAAACATTTTTACACCAACACTTTCATCTTGAAACATTTTCAAAAGACAAAGCTTTTTATATACGTTCTTATAGAGACGAGAACCATTATAAAAACGTTTTTCAAAATACTTTAAAAACCCACACCACAAGCACATTTTCAAACAAAAGCAAGTTATCTAGCAAGCAACTAAGAGCATGTAGATAACTACAGATGAAAAGGGTGCTAACACCTTCTCGTTTCATAACCTACCCCCCAAACTCATGAAATAATCTCGAAAGGTCTTCCCTGTTCTTTTCAACCTTTTATTATTGGATAAAAGAAAATTCAATGGCGACTCTTGCTATCTGTAACAATTGCAATCAAACGTAAAACCCCAAGTCAGTTCTCCCACCGTGTTACAACATCTTTCTCCACTACAATTCAAAATAATTCAAGATATTCAAGTTATTACAAGACTGCATATTTTTAAGTTATAATTGTTAAGTTACAAATCCTAAAGTCTTGTTTTGTTTGAACTTTTCTCTTTGACTCGAATCCACAAAAACAGCCCTGTTATGCTGTCAAAGTCTGCTCCAAAACCTGCAATGCTGCCTTGAAAATCTGCATCATATTAGTCCCATGGCTGCACCAAGTTAGCATGTAAAGGGTTGCACCCAAAAAGGCAATGTTACGGCATACCCAAACTGTTCAAAATCTTATTTATTCCCCCCCCCCCCCCCCCCCCCCCCCAAACCTCAGCTAAACTTCATCTATAAAACAAACTGTTCTCACAACATACAGGGGGGGGGGGGCTTTTAGAAAGAGAATAAAGAGTTTTGAACAAAAATCTAACATAACTTTTCTTGTAACTTCTGCTCATTTTTAGTTCTATCTTCATTCACAAAACTGAAAAAACCCTCAAACCATTTTTCACCTTACAAACTCTCCCATAAACCAGCCATCCAAACACTTCATACCACATAGAGATTGTTCAAGCACAAGAACAATTTCTGTAGTGCCCTTATTTTCACCTTCTAAACAAAAGACAGCACTGTGCAACTTGACCGGGTCGGAGTTATTTCAGCAACTTTAAATACAAAGTAAGGTTCAAACATCTTGGAACAACTTCCTGGAGGTTCATTAAGACCCTCACAACTTCTTGAAAAGTATTCAGCCTTAAAACATTAAGTGCAGTCTCAAGGTAAGTCTTCTTGACTTTGCATTTTTCATACATCACTAATGATTTATTCTTGAAGATAAAATGTAGTAATCATTGTCCATTTGAGCTAGCCATTTTCTTAATATTCATTTTATATCAATCATATACTATGAGATGACCTGTACACACAATAGAATGATGATAGAGGCGAAAAACTGCAGCATGAGTCGACACATACCCACATGAGTCGACTCATTCTAGTGAAAAAACAGGGTATGAGTCGACGCATGGCTTAATGCATCGACTCATACTATTATGCAGGCCCCAAAACAGAAGGATGAAAGGTGCATGAGTCGATACAAAACGTGTATGTGTCAACACAAACAGGTGCATGAGTCGACACATCCCATTATACTGAGTTGATTTGGGATTTTTCAGAAACAGGAAGCAGAATGAGTTGACACATCCCATTATGTGTTGACTTATACTGGGTTGACTTGGTTTGGCAGTGGCAAGTAAATTTATGTGTCGATACATAACAGCATGTGTCAACACATAATAGTTCATAATGCAATTTTTCCTTCTTTTTACACTATTTTTACATTTCCTTCATTATTATTCTATATGGTTGCAATATTTAAGTTTCCACCTCATCCCTATTTGTAAATTATACCCCCACTCCCCTAATGATGTAATAGCTTAGGATTTTAATTTCTGCAATTTACCGCTTTAATATAAATTGTTAGTAATTAGGGTGTGTATGACAAGATAAAATCAACCAATAAAAAACCCTAATCTCAAAGACAAAAATGCATGAAATCAAACACACTCCGCACACGTACACCTCTAGGGTAACCTCGCTTGTTGCCTCGGAAAATAGTCATCCCTCGAATATGGGCGTTTTAGCAAAGACCCTTGATAAAAAAGATCGTAGTCCATCGATGTCCCTCGATGTTGCCTTCGGTAAACGATCTAGCCTCTTACGAAAATTGCTAAAACGTCTCATAAGTTTTCTTCTATAACTATACGATTGACCCGTGCTTGTCCCTTCACATCCAATGATGGGGCTTTCTACCAATAAATGGTAAGATAGTAACATCTAAAGGAGGAGGAAAAGAACAAAGAGCTTTTAAGTAGGTAGGACGCTCGTAGTTGCTTGCTCACAAATCAAAACCATTTTCACACTTACAATTTCAAAACATCTTCAAAAACAAACATCTCTTTAAACTATTTTCAAAACCAACACTTTGTATACATTTTTATAGAGACGAGAATCATTACAAAGTTTGCCGAAACAAAGGAGTTTTCAAAATACTTTCAAAAACCCACCACAAACACATTTCAAACAAAGCATTTTTCAAAGTGATCTAGCAAGCATCTAAGAGCTCGTAGATAACTACGGATGAAAAGGGTGCTAACACCTTCCCTTTCCATAACCTACCCCCCGAACTCAAGAAGATATCTCAAAAGGTCTTTCATTTTCTTTTCTCCCTTTCCTTTATTAGATAAAAGAAAAGTCGGTGGTGAATCTTGCTATCCGTAACAATTTCGATCAAACGCAAAACAACCAAGTCAGTTCTCCCACCGTATTACACCTTCCATTCACAAAATTGTACCCCCCGTTCCGAAAGCATTGTAATAGCGTAGGATATTTAAATTTCGTAATTTATTGCTTTCCTTATTATGGTTAGTAATTAGGGTTTGCATGACAAGACTAAAATCAAACCATAAAAAACCCTAACTTAAAGACAATATACTTGAAACAAAACATTTTGCACGCATGCGCCTCTAGTGTAACCCACACTTGTTGCCTCGGATAAAAACAGTCATGCCCCTCGAACGAGAGATATTTTAGCAAAGACCCTCGATTAAAATATCGTAGTCCCTCGATGACCCTTCAAATATTGCCTATGGTAAATGATATTAGTCCCTTACGACAATTGCTAAAACATTTTAGAAGTTACCTTTTATGATTGTACGATGACCCACGCATGTCCCTCATATCCAATGATAAGACTTCCTACTAACTAATGGTAGACAAGCACTACCTAAAGGAGGAGGAAAAGAATAAAAACTTTTTAAGTAGGTAGATTGCTCGTAATTGCTTTCTCACAAACTAAAACAATTTTTACACCTCACACTTTAAAAAACAAACATCTTTCCAAACACTCCCTTTTGACAAATATTTTCAAAACAAAACATTTTGTATACATTCTCAACGATACGAGAATCATTGCAAAATTGGCGCACTGAGGCGTTTTTTTTTTTCAAAATATTTCCAAAACAAACATTTTGTATACATTCTCAACGATGCAAGAATCATTACAAAATTACCATT